GTTTTTTTGGCACTGCACTTTTGTTGGGATTGCAGTTGGTTTAGCATTTAGTTTCTATGTAATTCAAGCCCTTCCTGTCCTTGTGTATTGTACCAATTTGTTGTTTTTGTTAACTTATCATTTATATTCATGTTATTAAACACTTTGCCATTTCACATCTTGTTTTTTTTTGTTACGTCCCTCACCCTAGCAGAGCTGGGTCAAAACAGGCAGGTACTCTTCATCACTGAAAAAGCTGATATGTGACAGATATGTGAAAACCAATGATACAACCAAACAACTTTGAAGGAATGAGGAACTATAGTTACATACTGTAGGTAGTTAATTGTTCATGGATTCAAAGTTAGATACTCCAGCTGTAAGTGGTGGAGGGTTGATAACATGTTTTGTCCTAGCTGAATGTAGTGTATGCCGACATTCCACTGATTCGCATTGTGTGAATTATGCGAATCATTTTGAATCAGCTCTGCAACAACAAAATTGAAACAAAATCTATAAAAAAAAATATTATCAATATTTCAATCAATATTGTATTTCATTTTTCAAAATCAACATATATCACACCCCTACCTAGTACTATACATTTGTAGAGATTTTCAGATGCAGGAGAATCTAAAACCATTGTATGAGCCAGCACATGTGAAATGAATGGAAGCCCACAGAGAGTTTTAAACTCAAAATTACGACTTTAAAACTTGAAATTATGAGTTTAAAAGTCAAAATTATGACTTTTAAAGACAAGATTTAAAGTTGTAATTTCGAGTTTTAAAATAGATACTATTAATACCGATGGTATTCACTTCCACAGGATTAATCACTAAGACTTCTTGTAAATGTGTAATAATCATTCAAGCTCTAGGTAGTGTGGGTAAACAAACTTCTTCTGACTTGAAATCTGATTCCTGCGCATGTTCCCACGTTCCCGTAAATCATAACACAGTGGCACCAAGTGGATGAACTAACCGCAAGTAAAACAGCCCACGGTTTACACATATAGACTCGGGACAAACTGTTAATTTGTTGTTATTATTCTAAAATGAAGTGTAGCTAAAGAAAATGACTATAATCGTACTGCGCTGTTAGCAAGCATTACCTTTACATACCTGCAAATGTAAACATGGATGTATGATGTATTATATGCATTAGTCATCTTAAATATTAAATCCCACACATGAACTTAGAAATGAACTGAATATTTACAGTCTATGCCTCAAAGCAACAATATCTTCATCATAACCTGCTAACTTGCAGGCAAAGGATGTCCAGAGACCATTCCAGACAGCACTACTGTACATACATGCCAACAACTGCACATGCGCAGTTTAAAACTCGTAATTTCGAGTTTAAAACTCAAAATTATGACTTTCTGTAGGTTTTTTTTTCTTTTACATGGCGGAAAAAGGGCTTCCATAGAAATGTGGACATTGGAAAATCAGGATATCTATATTATGGCAAGGTGGCTGAGTGGATAGCACTCTCGCCTCTCAGCAAGAAAGTCCTTGGTTCGAATCCGGGTTGGAACGGGGTAAGTTTCCCCTACCACTAATAACATGCACACTAGGTTAAATCCTCCATCTCCGGTAGTAAGTAGTAAGTAAGTAAGCTTTATTTATATACCGCCTTTCACAGACCAGAGTCACAAAGCGGTTTACAATTGTTATTTTTGGGCACTTGTCCTCTCACTCCACACAGAGATGGGAGCGGGGTCGCCGAACAGGAGGCGCATGCCAGACCTATTGGACATATTTTTAGTGGTAGGGGAAACCGGAGTACCCGGTAGTCCTGACCAAGCCGAGCATCATCATCTGGAGATGGGTTCCTGGACGCTGTACTACGGCGACCACTGCTCCTGACGTAAGCCTTTGCGGCATCAGGATGGGTCAAATGCAGAGGATTGAATTGCCCTACGGGGATTAATAAAGTGCACCTTTACCTTACCTCACCTAATCTGTGGGCAAATCAGCAATTCTATGACGCCCTTTGATTTTGAGCCATGCAAAAATAAACCGATTACATGACAGAGAAATTCCTAAACCACAGCATTTGCCAGGTTGTCTTAGGGTGGCATGGTTAAACTATCAGCCTGTTTGGATCTGTAAGTCTTATCATTGTGCATAAGAAAAGTGTTTTTGTTTTTTTTGGAGAATCTGCCGCAAGCGAGTTTTGAACTGTGCAGCTCATATTAACAAGCTGAGGTTGAGAGAGGAATGTTGCAGTGTGCCTCACCAACTGCACCAAATTAATCACTGTGTATGAATTGTTTGCTTCCGATATGGACTCAGGGGAAAGTTGGATGGGCGTGATGAGATGCTACAGGGAGAGGGGAGCTAAATTTAATCAGGAATATCACAGGGGTTTATTCCAACTCTGTGCGGTGTCTCTTACCATGCAGAATAATAAAACAATATATTCAATGTTTTGTGTAATGAGTAATTTAAATAGAAGTATAAGCTATGAATAACAAGATGTATTATCATATTAGCCTTTTTTTTAAGGAATTCTACGTAGCATGAGGTGTCATCATTCATTGCTTTATAAATATAGATGAATAAATAAAAATACTAAACCTAGGTTCTTTGTGTATAGTATTTAGAGCACACAAACATATAAACAAAATGTTGCATAATTAGGAATAACAGAACGAGAGGTAAACATGTTCTGATTTGTGCGTGGTTACCTCAAAGCAGGGGAAAAATAAGTAATGCTATAATAATTTAATGTAATTTGAAAAAAAATAATTATATAAAATTGCGGTATGGCCTTCCAAGTCAATATGAATGAATTTGAAAATGTTTAAAGGCCATTGCACTATAAAAGCTAACTATATTTTCAAGATACCCTTCAAAGCTTTTACTGTCCATAAAAGAAAATCAAATTAAATGAAGTTGAATAAAAGCAACATGCCATTATTCAAAATGCATGTTCATGTTATAAAGTCACAAAAATACAAACAAAAGCCTTGTAAATGACAGACTGTATTTATTCTCCTTTAAAGTCCATGAAAAGTCAATATCATGAAAAACATTTTAACACTTTTAAAATTAGCAGCAAGATTTCACATTGTATGAACATGTCTACAGTTATCTATTTAACACCTCTAATATGAGGCTCTCACGTCAAAGTTTCAGCGATTCCACATGAATATTCTAGCATAAAAAGAAGACATTAATGCAGATTTGCCTCTACTGGGAAGATATGCAAAATAGTGAGTCAGACATTTGAGGCTTTGGTGGATTTATGCACAAATACAGGGTACAGCCCCAATTAGCATCTACCTGTGTGGATTTAAATGATAACTAAGGTCATCTTCTCTCCACTGACATTAATATTCCATACGGCTAAATGTTGCATGCTTCATGGTACATTTGCAGCTCTGAAAACAGACACAGCAAGGGGAAATTAAGGGGAAAATCACATTGGTATTGTTTTTGGAAATGAGTCTCATCTATTGTGATCTAGAATGCTTAATTCTTTGTTTATTCATGTTTTATTCATGTGACATGCTAGTGCCACGTGAACCATCTGGGACTCAGGACTGGTTTCCTGCTGGGACTCTGAGGAGCAAAGGGACTGGCCTCCTGCTGGGACTCTGAGGAGCAAAGGGACTGGCCTCCTGGTGATGTGCAGAGTCAGGACTACTATGGCAGCAGTCTATGCAGCTAAAACCTGGCTACAGTCTTCCTGAAAATGTGAGATATGCATCTACTCTGACAATGTTCAAATCCAAATTAGCTGAACATACAATTTATAGAGCATAAAAATAAAAAAATGTACTGTGATAAATTTACAATTTCCTTTCTTATTATGTGTAGCACTTGAGTTACCGGAAGTATAAATTGTGCTATACAAATAAACCTTTTCCTTTTATGTATTTACATTTACTATTATCACCATAACACATTCAATATAATCGGGGGAAAACTGTAAAAACATGCATTATGAAAAAACAGAAAGACCACATCGATTTGTATTCATTGAACCCTTAATAAATTAAGCAGGTTTATCGCTAGTTTGTAAATATATTCAGTTTGGCACCACAAATTGGAAAGCCCTAGTTTTATTGCTCGAATCAATTTGGCCTTATTTCAAGGTTCACAACAAGCCTGCAAAAAATATTGATTTTTCTGCCTTTTTAAATAAAGGTGAAGGCAAGTCAAAAACTTAATAAAAATGCAAAGTTACAGGAAAGTCATCCCATACACATTTTGTACCAATAATACCACACAGTGCAGCCAACACACGTTCTGCACAAGATGGGGAAAGCATTGCCTCTTCACACCTTTGTAGATAGCCCAATCTGACCCATTCCAGCCTTTCTTAACACACAAAGGCCTACTGCCAGGCGAGAAAGAAAGCAGCAACACAAAGGCTTCTTCCATACTGAGAGTAGATTGAATATCATAGTGTGTATTGTATAATTATTCCTCATATTATTTGTTTAGAAGAGTTGAAAAGGTGTTTGGGGTTCTCTTGAAGACAATACATATTTTCAGTAGCATATAACTTACACATAATACACATTACTTGCATTTCTTTTGAGAATAAATAAATATTAGCTATTAATATCTTGTGTGAATTGCTTTAAATGATAAATATCGCACATGTCAGACATAAAGCCTGTATCCTGACCCATGAACAATCAGCACATGTAACTGCTGCCCATTAGAGGCTGGTCATTAATAGCGTATGGGTAATTCCTTCACATTAAGTACCCAGAGATAAGAGCGCTCCTAATAGTTGGTTGGCCCTTCTTGGAGACAGGCTTATCTAAATCCTCTTGGCGGAGCTATCTCAACACTGACAGTACAGTTCAGACGGGAGCTTAAAAGTTGCCTTTAAATCTGCCTTTTTAGTATAAAGCAGAGGCAGGAAGTTGGTCTGATAGCGCTCAAGTTGCAGTGTATGTTCCACAATAGCAAATGATGGTCTAAAAATGGCCTTGTCTCTAGAGGTGGTGGAAAGTTTTTCGAATACAATTATATGTTTTGTGTCTGGCAGCATTATGTGACCTCAGTTTGGTGTGTGGTGTTGCTGTGCCTCGGGGGCTGCCTGCTGGAGTCTTTGTCCACCTTGTCTTCCTCATCAGATCTGCCCAAAACCGGGTTGCTCTGACACACAGGGGAGCTGCAGGGAATAAAAAAGCACAACACTATTAGATCGTTATGGGGTTGAAAACTGAAAACTGAGGGGTTGAAAAAAAGTTGCTATTAAAATATGGTGCAGCAAAACCGCAAGCAATTTATTCTACTCCCAAAACAGTAAACAACAGGTCTCTCCGGACTTGCATGCTGCATCGGACATTTGAATGGTTTGCACAGAAGTTAAGAAACCAATATATAAACAAATATAGACGAGTAATGCAAATGCAAAGGTAGCAGAATGAGACCACTGTATGTTATCTTGTGTTAGTTTTTGCTACTACATAATGACATCTTGTAACTAACCTTGCATGCTTATGTCCCTGGAGATGTTCTGTATTTGTCTGAAATTTTCCATGATAATAACATAAAAGTCAAACACAATTTAAAACAAAAGTATTTTGGCAAGCATAGTAGTTTTACATTTCTCATCCCAAGATCCAAGGTAAATCCAAGGCAAATCCAAGCAGTGCGGGTTTTTCAGTCCTGCTTGGATTTGCCTTGGATTGCCTTTTATTGCCACTTTTTTTATTGGACATAATTATATCCTGCACAGACTATATTTTTAACCTTTAACCTTTAACATGTTTGCACACTTCTGTCTTTTTTCACAATCTAAGTGACTCTATCTATGACAAATGTGAATGAGTGAGATCAATAAAGTCTATCTTATGTTATCTTATCTATTTCAAGTTTATTTTTATAGTGCAATTCATACACCAGGCAACTTAAAGATAGAAACTGCTTGTCCTTTTATACAAGGAAATTAGTGATATCTTTATTTAAATGTATTTACTGTTTGTATGTTTGTGTTGTGATACAAGAGAAATATCTTTTTGTGAGCCCCCAGATCTGCTCAAAAAGGAAAACAAATGCAATACATGGTGCAACTTAACAGAGAGACAGGGCATTTACGTAGTGCAAGTTTAAATAAATGAAACGAAAACTAGAATCTAAATTCAGTGTAAGCTTGACAAAGCAGACAACACACGGCTCAGTGACAGAAGCCTCACTGTGCTTGCAATGCATAACTTATGTATTCAGAGGTGTCACATATGGGGAAGTGTCTGGTGTCAAACTTCACCCATTCGCTGCCAAAATATTGTGTTGGTGTGAAGAACGGAAAAACTAAAACACTTAATTGTGATACATGTAATGCATGATATTATGTGTTATTTTGTTTGATCATGTATTAAAGGACTTGACCAGATCTGTGCTAGAAAGGAATTCAGAACAGTCCCACATGATAAAAGCTTAAGTAGTTTAATGAAACTGAATTACAGAATAACCTTAGCCTAAATGAGCTTGTATAATAATCCAACACGTCTCTTTTATTTATGCAGAGGCTAATACTCCACTAGAGAGAGAGCGTTCAAGGGCAACTGTCCTCCCAAAATAATGACTCACTCTGGCATGTTTTAAACAGAGGAAAGGCAGATGCTGAGACTGTCAATACTTCTCTTTTAAAAATAGGCCTTTGAAATGGTCCAGCTATGTCATTTGCGTGTGTGCGTGTGCGTGTGTGTGTGTGTGTGTGTGTGTGTGTGTGTGTGTGTGTGTGCAGATGCGTGCGTGTGTGTGTGTGTGTGCAGATGCGTGCGTGTGTGTGTGCGTGTGCGTGTGCGTGTGTGTGCAGATGCGTGCGTGTGTGTGTGTGTGTGCAGATGCGTGCGTGTGTATGTGTGTGTGTGTGTGGTTATTGTATGTACTACCATACCATATAGTCCTGGCACTCCAAGAGACACCTCAACAACATAGAAAGAATATGCTTCACAGAGGCTTATGACTGCAGTGTATGTGACCTGAATGTGCTCCTTTTTAAATATGTCAAATATGTCCAAGCATGATAAGTTAGATGGTGACTAAATGTTAATTGTCAAATCCTAAATCACACACATTGTTATGGTTGTGAATCTCAAGTCAACATATCTAGAACAAAGAAAGTCTCAAAGCAAAAGCCGATCAACCCAGATTAGTACAAACTAGACCACTCGTGCTGTTTATATTCACACCAGGCATCACCTGCATGTGTTGGATCAATCACTGTCCGGCTTGTAGAGATACTTCATAACCAAATTGTCCACTTTCTTCTGCTTCTTCTTGCTGTCCTTTCTGCTGGGTCCTACCGGTTCGTCGTCGTCATCAGATACTTTGACTGGGGCTCTTTTCACACTATTGGAGCTACGACGAGAGGTGGTGGACCCAGAAGAGGACTCCGACGAAGACTCGGACGATGAAGATGAAGATTCTGACTCGCTAACTTTCTTCTTTCCTCTCTTCTTAGATTTCTTGCCTTTTTTCCCTCTGTATCCCTTTCTACTGTGTCTCTCATCTGAGGAAGAATCATCCGACAAAGACACTTTGGATTTTTTTTCTTTGCGACTCTTGGAGCTGCTAGTGCTCATCGTGCTTGACGAACGGGTTCTGTAGTCCAAAGTCGAGCTAGAGGTGCCTAACCCTTCATCATCTTTCTTTCGATTCTCTTCCCTTTTCTTTTCCACATCTTCCTCTTCACTAGATTCTTCAAGTTTGCTGCGTTTGAATTTTATAGGCTTGAAACTCAGTACTTCATTGATTGCAGCTTCCAAATCAGGGTCCAAATAGTTGCGATGAGAGACAGTTTTGATGTCGGACAACTCTGATACAGCCCTGTCAGTCGTGGAAGATTGACCTGGATTGGAGAAACTTCTGCTAAGAGAGCGTGGGCTATAAGCTGATGTGCCTCCTTCTGTGAATGCAACACTATGACTATCATCGGCGTCGTCAACGTGGAGGCCAAACTCACTAAGGCCACAGCTACGCGCAACAGACAGACGAGAGCTGCTGCGTCTCTCGTCCTTCCAAGAGGAGCTGCGGTGGACGGAGCGAGGACTTGTGCGGCTTACGCTGCTGATGGTGGACTTGTTGTCATCATCATCCATATCCAACATTCCCCTCCTGGTGGAAAGGCGAACAGAGGAGACCACAGACTCCTTGTCATACTCAGGGCTACTTTTGGAAGTCCAGCGGGAATCGAAACTTTTCCTGGCTCGACTTGTAGCTTCAGAATAAGCCATGGAGATGACTGAGCCTTTGTCGTCCAGGTCGTCAGAAGCATGGCTCTTTTTCCATTCGTCCTGGAGGTCTCCAGATTTAGACTTGGCTTTGCGAATAGAGGCGTGGTCTGTCGTGTCCATCTGTTCTTTCAGAGTGCTGAAGAGTGAGCTCTCATCACCGGTACCCCCTATGGAGTCCTTGAGATTGGAGCGTTTCCTGTAGCTTAGTGAACTCATGACAGATATTGATCGGGCTGGTTCCACTTCTTTTCCTTCTTTACTTCCCTCTATGGGTTTGTCCTTACCTTCTTTTACATCAGCAACGTCTGCATTTGCTGCATATCTAGAGACAAATAACACTAGCATTCAACCAGAGAAAGAGGAAGAACGTGACACCCAGAGCTAAAGTGATTTGGCACTAGACTTTGATGTTAGACTGTCAATTTATCACTTTCATTTTGCCCTTGGGACCAGCGTATATACAGCCCTGCTGATTGTTGTTACGTACAGTACACAGTAAGTGAGGTAATCAGCCGGGGATGAAGGCAATATTACTGTGGCTAGACACCATTTAGCAGGCGTGCCAACTCGCCATGGGCCACTTCAATAAATTTGACAGCAGCCGCTTCCCTTTCTGCCTCCCATCATTAGACAGATTACTGGAAGAGAGCAATGACACCTAATCATAGGAAATACACGTCCGTCTAGAGAAAAGTGCCTTAGGTAATGCTGGAAATGCTGCAGGTTTATCAGAGTGTTAGTGATGGCACAGACTGTGAGGATGTGTCATGATGCATAAGGATGATTGAACTGACCTGGTGCTCTTCAGACTCCCTTCTTCTGACTGAGCTTTTGTCGTGCCTTTGTTCTTCGAAAGCCAAGACTTAACTCCATCCACACGATCCTCCACCTCCGAATCTGTGTCTGTGTCGTCACCACTGCGAAATAACAGCAACACACTGGTATCATTTTGAGTGGTATTTGTAGTGACGTCTTAGCAAGTTTCAAGGTTTGTTTATTTAACCATAATGGAATGTTAATATTAATCTCAAGGTGCAGAGGTTAGAATTTCAATGTATTAAATGCAATTAGTTTGATAGCCAGTGGGATGAAAATTGAATAAAATGATAACAGATGTGGAAGAGTCAAAGTCGTGATCTGGACAGAATTTAGATGATTCATTAGCAGGCATAATTAACTTGTTTTGCTGCTTTTGGGCTGGGAGAATCTGTGTGGCATGTCACCTACTCTTAGTGATTGTTATTGAAGTGGAGCCTTGAGACAGCCTCGCGGCCTTACCCCCGACATAACAATCAATACATGTAGACCCCTAGATCCCAGGGAAAGCATAAGAGATCCCACTTGGATAAGGTCAATCCTCTTTCATTTGTTTCTGATCAGCCCTGAATGTTTTTGAATTATGCACTCCATTGTGAAGGAAGGGTAATGTGACAGGATATTGCATGATGACTGAAATGAAATCACCTTTACATCAGTGTCTCTTTTATGGTAGCAATGTTTGGAATATATTGATGTCAAGTTCAACTTCTCACTAGCTTCTTCAAACGTGGCATTGCTGCACACATATACTTGATGTGTAAAAATCAATTCCACATTACATTTAAAAAGCAGCTCAAGGATGCTTTAAGGGCTGGATTTGACTTTCATTTTATTGATGATTCGAGTTTGTTTGAAAATGAAAACTATGTATATGTAATGGCACATCTGTATGAATGTTTTCCTAAATGAAAATTGCATTTTGTGATAAATGACAGTGGTGTATATCTGACCTGTCATGTTGGAATTGCAGTTATTTATGTTCCTACCTGATGCAGCTTTCAAACTGTCATGTTTCATCAATCTAAAATGTGCACCTTGTTTGCTATTCTTGAATTAAAGATTTAGCTCCAAAGAGTACATTGTGACAGCTCACTGTCATTAAAAATGAGCAGAGGCACAAGAAATAAAAATCATTAATCTAAAAACATTCTTATCTCACTGTGTGGTAGCATGTATATTTGAAAAAATATAGCAAATAATCTTGGACAGTGGAAATGGAGTGTGGAGTTCTGCCATTTATCTACATAGTGAATACACGGTTCTGTGTTCTCATTGAACTACATACTATTTGCTTTCAGATTCAGATTCAGTTTATTTGCCATTTGCAGTAAAAAAAAACCACATTGGAATACATTAGCAAAAGTCTCCAGTGTGCACAGACAAATACAGACATAAAACAACATTAAAAGACAAAAATAAAACAAATTAAAGCCGCAAGCGGCGTCGAACGGCCCTCGCCGCACCGCGCGACTCACCGCACCGCGCGACCCCCCGCACCGCGCGAATCCCCGCACCGCGCGCACCACTCCGTTCCACGCCGCCCCGCACCCAGCCACCCCGCACCAAGCCACCCCGCACCACGCCGTCCCGCATCACGCCGCCCCGCACCAAGCCGCAACACACTGCTCCACAACGCCCCGCACTACACCGCACCACACCATACCACGCAGCACCGCGCATAGGAGGTGGCGCCAGGGCCGGAGTGGGACAACATTTCAGGCCGGGAGCTTTTCATCCATTCAGGCCAAGCAAGGTTCTAAATTTGGGTTTTTGTCATTGTATTTTGATGTTCTTTTAATAGTTTTAAGATTGACTGTCAAAACTTTTGTTTTCTTTATTTTTTTTTATATTGACTGTTTATATAATCTCGGACGTTTAAGGATTGTTGTACGTTGCTTAGCAACGTAACGTTTATGGAGTTTAGTGAGAATAAAGACACACACACACACACACACAATGAACTAAGTGTTCATTAGTGTATAACTATAACAAGCTAATCAATTATTGTAAAAAAAGTAGTAAGGTAAAATCACATCGTTACAGCTCATATAAAAGGAAAAATAAAAACGTGTATGAACCATCAGTTGGAGAGACCACTCATTTGAACCGGGGAAGCTACACTGGGTGCACTGCCAGGCTGGCCTGGCTGTGTAGCCGACGTGTGACGTCACATTTGTTTAATTTTGCTCTGGCCCAATGACAGTAAAGCTTTGGCCAGTGTTGTGCCAGTTCACAGCTTTTCTGAACTAGTTCAAGTTCAGTTCATACATGCTCAAAGTGAACAGTTCACGTTCGAAGTTCTCAATTTTAATTCTGAACTAGTTCAAATTTCAGTTCATTTTACTTTTTGCGAGATATTCAAATAAATATTTTTTTTCACTACGAGCTAGAAATCACAATACGTGGTATATATATATATATATATATATATATATATATATATATATATATGTATATATATATTATATCCTGTACACTGCACAGGATGTTTTGACTCCAATGCAGACAAGATTTACATGGGTTTCAATGGGAACTGAGTTGTCCCATCTCTGCTCATAAGTACAAACTGTAATGCGCTGCAGAACGTGTGTCTATACTTTATGTCAAATGTAAACGGCCCTGTGTCACTGACTTACCCCTGTGTTTTCATCACGGCACATGTGAGTCCAACAACCAATGAATAGCACTAGCATACAGCGCCGCACCGCAAGTACACTGAGTCGGGGTGCGTTCACAGACGGTGGAAACCGTAGGAATTTTTAGTTTTCGGCGGAAACAGTGCGGAGAATACAGGAGGGAGGAACTTTCTCTCGTTGCGTTTCAAAAGAGAAAACAGATTTCACTCAGTTTTAAATGGAAAACAAATTGTCTGCCGTTCATGACACATAATATGAACTAATTCACGTTCAAGATCTTTATTAAAAATGTGTTGCGTTCAGTTCAACGTTCACGAAAAAATGAGCGTGTTCAATGAACGCGTTCTTTTGAACTCGTTCACGCGCAACACTGGCTTTGGCCTGGGCCTTGCTCATTGGACCAGGCCACCAGGCAGGGTAGGAGTTTGCAAAGACCGTGAGGATGAAATTAAATTAAAAAAAACAAACAAAAAAAATAAAAGACCGTGATGATAGGGCAGGCCCAGGCCACTTTGACACGCAGGCCACCGGGAGATCTCCCGATGCTCCCGATGGCCAGTCCGGGCCTGGGTGGCGCCGCCGTGTGATGATTGGATCCCGTAGCCATAGAAGAACTTAGTCAAATTGTAATGAATATGATAAGTAGAGCTGGTTTGGCTCCCCATGTAAACTTTGACTCAGTCTGCAGGGGGCGCTAATGGGCCAATTTCAAATATTTCACTTTCACCTGACCTAAACCCTGGAGTTGAACAATGGATTCAAGTTTAATCAAATCAGTCTTTGTTTGTGCAAACGGGGAAAAAATTTATGTTGTCAAAAACGGCCAAAAAAAACCCTCACATTTTGCCGCTCCGCTTCTCAAACAACGTTTGACTGATTAAAATTCCCTGAAGTAATTTTGAAGGTAAATGTGTTGAGATGATTTGGAACAATTTTGAGGCCAATCGGTGAAACGGCCGAGGAGGAGTCGCTTTCCAACCGACGTGTATGAAAATGATTGGTTTTCATTTTCCATTTTGCAATGAAATTTATGGGCTTCCTGTTTGTCAGAGGGCTTAGCCATTATAACATTTTATCCATGTCTTGACTTGAGGAACATGTGTTCCAAATGACATGGCTCTACGACAATTTTGACCTCAAACCCATCCCATAGGCATTTTTAAATTGGCTGTTGTAGGTGGCGCTATAGAGCCAATTTCAAAATTTAAACTTTCAAATGACCTAGACGCAAGAGTTAAACCATGGATTCAAGTTTTGTGCCAATCACACTTTGTTTGTGCAAACGGAAAAAAAATTTCTATTGTCAAAAACTGAAAAAAAATACGCCACTTTTTGGCACTCTGCTGCTCGAACAACGTTTCACTAATCAAAATTCCCTGAAGTCATTTTGATGGTACATGTGTTGAGATGATGTGGAGCGATTTTGAGGCGAATCGGTGAAACGGCCGAGGCTGGTTTGATGTTTGTGTGAGGTGTACATTTGCAATGAATGGGGAGCGTTTCTCGTCGCCACGGCACCAGGGTAAAAAATAAGCCTTGGACCCTATTGACTTTTTGAATCAAGAGGGCAACACAGATGTATGCACAAAATTTCAAACATTTTGAAAAAACTAAATTTTAAAATGCCCATCTAAAACTTTGAAATAGTCTGTAGGGGGCGCTAATGTGTCAATTTGAATCAATTCACTTTCAAATGACCTAGACCCTAGAGTTGAACAATGTATTAAAGTTTTGTGCTAATCAGACTTTGTTTGTGCAAACGGGAGCAAATTTAATGTTGTCAAAAACAGCCAAAAAAAGGTCACATTTTGCCGCTCCGCTGCTCAAACAACGTTTCACTAATCAAAAATCCCTGAAGTCATTTTGATGGTACATGTGTTTAGACAATGTGGAGCGATTTTGAGGCCAATCGGTGAAACGGCCGAGGAGGAGTCGCTTTCCAACCGACATGTATGAAAACTTTTGCTGTTCATTTTTCCATTTTGCAGTGAAATTTATGGGCCTCCTGTTTGTCAGAGGGCGGAGCCATGATAACATTTCGGTCGTATCTTGACTTGAGGAACATGTGTACCGAATTTCATGGCTCTACGACAAACTTGACCTCTGAAACTCCCATTGGCTGTTGTAGGTGGCGCTGTTCTGGCATTTTTTGAGTCCCATAAAAATAAACACCAAAATATCAAATTTTTCACCAGGTCTGATGTTTGGTCAAAATTTTACAACTTTTCATGCATGTTCAGGGGGTGAAATTAAGGCTCAAAGTGCAGAATTTGACATCTCTCGAGCAAAAACAATAGGCCCTTTCCCCGTTCGGGGCTCGGGCCTAATAATAACCCCCATGGAATTTTTTCGGAGGTCAAGTTTGTCGTAGAGCCATGAAATTCGGTACACATGTTCCTCAAGTCAAGACATGAAAAAAATGTTATTATGGCCCCGCCCTCTGACATACAGGAAGCCCATAA